AAAAAAAGTGAAGGATAAAAAATTAGAAATCAAAACATTGATGGTCAAATCTCAAATATCATCAAATATTGAATTGAAAAGAAAAATCATATTCATGAAAAAATAAAAAATAAAAGAAAACCAATTTCTAACTAACTTAATGATGATGGATGCAATTTGTATTCTTTTTTACATGACTGAAGCCAACTCAATTCAATTATAAGAACTGGTGATATGGAATATGAGGTCAGATTACAACATAAAAGGTAATCCGAAAAAATAACAATACAAAATCTCTAACCAACCAAAATAATTAAAGATAAACTTGAAAAAACAAATTAAAAAAAGAAATAGTTTAAAAAATATAGACTTGAAAAGAAAGAGAACCAAATTTGATATAAAAAATAAAAGAAAATTATAAGGGATGAAATTGAAAAACAATTTCAATAAAGAAAAAGATAAGAACAACTAAAATTAACAATAAAAAGAGTAAGGATCATATTTGATACAAAAAAAATATCAAAGAACCATATTTGATACAAAAAAATATCAAGAGATGAAATTCAAAGACAAATTAATTTAATCAAGGATTCAAGACCAAACACACCATAATTAAAAGAATGAAAATAAAATCTAATACAAAAAATCAAGTGAGGTATGAAATAAAAAAAAATAACTTAATAAATGATTCAAGACCAAATACATTTCAATTAAAAGAATGATAACCAAATCATATATAAAAATCAAGTGCCAAAGATAAAATTGAAAAAACAAATTAACTTAATAAATAATTTAAGATCAAATATATTGTAATAAAAAAAACAAGGGCCTAATTTAACTTAACAAAGAGATAGTCATGCTTTATTGTTTTTTTGCAATAGCCAACACGATTTTTTAGACGGAGAGAAAGGAGAGAAAGAGGGAGGAAAAAACTCGTGTCCAATGTTCTTCCGTGTCACGACCATGAACACGTGCCTCACCACTATGATATGGGTGGTGAGGTGCAAAAAACACCTCTTTGAAAGGCAACATTCGATGCAATTTGAGTGTCACATGCATCACCCAAAAAAAGACTCGAGGTGTGAATTTGTTGGCTTGTTTGAAACACGCGCCAACTATTTTAAATTTAAATAATAATTTATACATATTAAAATACTCAAATACACTTGACATGGCTTGAGAATTACAACAAAACCATATTAAAAGGACAAAAACACCCATGCTAATAGTTTTAATTTTTTTAGGGTCAAAAGGTATAAATATAAACGCATTGTTTTTGTTTTGCAAAAAACAAAAAAGCCCCTTGCGGGAAGCCTAGTTTTTCTTACTTCTAAATACAAATAAGTTGTTACATTGTAGTAAAAGAAATATATCCAAATCATTTTATCCTTGATAAATTTTATAATGACTAATGCATTCTTTGGTAAAGGTAATTGTGCCTTTAATTGCAAGCATAACCATTTTTTTAGTAAAGGTAAAATAGTAAAAACAATATGTCTAGAAGCTGAATAAATCACTCGTGTCTTTTTAATATCTTTTTTGTAATATTGATGACTTTGTGTCTAAGAGAAATTTGGAATAAATGATTAATATTAGATACCTACTTTTATTAACGGATGACTACTTGAATATCTAATAATAAATTCAATTAATATCAGTTGGAGCAGCTAAAAGAATATCGCGAGGCTAGAGACAAATATGAGGAAGGTATTGCAGCCATATCAGGTTCGAGTCCCGAGGAGGTATGTTCCACTTCCATCTCAATACTTTAAAACCTTGTTTTTGTTTTTGCAAAAGATAAAAGAGCCCCTTGCCCCAAAGCTTTATTTTTCTTGTTTCCAAGTGCAAATCTGTTATGACACTGTAGCAAAAGATACATGTCTGGACCATTCTGGACTTCATAAATTTTATAATGACTAGTTCATTTTTCGGTAAAGATAATTGCACGGACCTCTAACTGCAAACATAATATTCTTTTAATAAATATAAAAGAGTAATTAAAAACAATGTTTCATTTCCACAATAAATCACTTGTTTCTTTTTAGTATATTTTTTAAATATTATCCTACAAGGTTTTCTCTCTCTGTTTTTTTTTAAAGGAAAAGACATTAATGACCTGTTAATTTTCCATGCTTTGCACTTTGCCACTCCTTTTATTATGTTGTTTTATTTTCAGAAAAACCCTACGTACATTTTCTTTATCCAGTGGTGCAGTTTTTACACTACATATTTTTTTATTTAAATCTTGTTTATTTTTATTATTTAAAAATATTTTTTAAAAAATCAATTTTTTTTAATTTTTTTTATATTTCTAGATCATTTTAATGTGTTGATGTAAAAAATAATTTTTTTTTTAAAAAAAATTCAATATATTTTCAAACAAAACATATTTTAAAAAATAATTATTATAATACACAAAAACCCTTTAATCAAGGTTGCACTTAATTTGCGTACTTCGAACAACATGCATGCATCGAAAGCAAGATTGTACTTAATTTGGTAACAAATTTTAATAAATTAGTATCAGGAAATTAGTCAGACTACTTTCTCTATATTTATTGAAACGAGAAATTAAATTGAAATTCATGACACTCCTGATTTCTATTTTTAAATAAGAATAATTTGCATTGATTAATCAATTATTTATTAATTACTAATGTCTAGCTAACGATGTTGCTATTTTGAAGAGGTTGAAAGAACTTGAAAAGATTGTGGCAGATACAGAGCATGATCTTGAGCGTAAAAAGCGAGAGCATGAACACGAAGAGCGAGTGCTTAAGCGAGTGCTTCAGTACAACAAGCGAGATGTTGTGCAATTGAGATCTTCTTTAACAGCATCAGCTCCACAGCAAGGAATTGATTCACTTCGAAGAAGTTTGCCAGCATAATCTGATGATGAGTTCACTTTAATTATTTAAGTGAATTAACTAAAATAAGTTCGTACTGGCAATAATATTGTTGGGCTTCATCTTACATGCATGTATTGAAAAAATTGCATTGACGACCATCTTCTTATAGAGTCAATTCTTGTCTTGTTACTGTTAATGGAAGAGCCATAACATCATCAAGTGCTTATGATGACCCATTCAGCTTCTTAGACTAATTCGGGTACTTACTTAAAAATTAAAAAGTTTCTATAAGGTTAATATATCAATTTTAAAACATGTAAACACTGATCCATTTGTTCTTAAGTGCTAGTTGTTGGCGTGAGTCATTAACAAAGGATTTTTTTGAGAGATTATAGTGATTTTTTAGGAAAATAGAAAATGCAGTTGTGAAGGGACGACTATTAAATCAATGGTTTCAAAGTAACTACATATTTACAATGACGAAAGCCAAATGGGATGTCATCGCTGTAATATATTTTGATGGCGCTGGCACCTCACAAGTTTATGTTAGGTTGGTTGCCATTAATGTGCAACAACCATTGACTATTGCACCAACCAT